TGAACAGTGCGAAGTGATTTAAAAGGCTTTCGGAAAACATTACTTTACGACAGACACTTCGCCACACACGGCGCCCGCCGCCTGGTGTAACCTGCAGTGGCCAGCGCCAGCACGGCGCCCGTCGCCTGGTGTTACCTGCAGTGGCCAGCGCCAGCACGGCGCCCGCCGCCTGGTGTTACCTGCAGTGGCCAGCGCCAGCACGGCGCCCGCCGCCTGGTGTTACCTGCAGTGCTACCTGCAGTGGCTGGCGCCGCCTGGTGTCACCTGCAGTGGCCAGCGCCAGCACGGCGCCCGCCGCCTGGTGTTACCTGCAGTGTTGCCTGCAGTGACCAGCGCCGCCCGGTGTTACCTGCAGTGACCAGCGCCATTCGGTTTTACGGAAACTCCAACCCGGCCATCGCTGCTCTTACTGCTGAGGTTGCGAGCGCGCCGGCTCTCAGCCTTCGGATGTTCTTTGTTTCGCTATTCGATTCTGCACAAGAATAGACGGTCTCAGGCCAAGATGAGCCAGCTTTTCATTTTGAATTCTTCTCGACCCACTCCTTGCAACATTAATGAGAACCCTCATTCTTTCTGGGGAAGGGTACCAGGAACAGAGAAGGCTAGGGACACATCGTCCCCGGTCAAGAGCTAAAGAGCCATTCTGTTCCAGCGCGGGGTGACTTCCAGCCGCCACTCTGGCGGTACGGGGCGGGATCCCTTGGTCGATCCGGGGACTCTTAAGAGATGCATCATATGCCATTGGTCCCCTCTCTAATTCGGGAGGCATTCTAACCCGTGGAGTTGACCCCGGATCGACACAGGAACTCTCGTTGACGCAACAAGAGCCCTGATCGCAGCACGTGGTCCAATAATTGGCACATGGACCCCAGTTCTTCAGGCCTTTCAGAACCTTCGGCCTTCCAAAAAGCTTTTGATCTGTAGTCCTGATGGGCTTTTCGGCCGTCTTCGGGCACTCCCAAACAACTCCCGTGACCGGCACAGGGTCACTTGCCGACACATAACACCCTTTCAGACACTGTGAGCAGTGACCGACACAGGGGCTCCTATTGTTTCAGGGACCCATACCAATGCATCGCAGGTCCCGGAAATGGGTCTCCAGGGTCCAAACGAGCACGGAGCCAACTGTTCGACGTTGGTAGTCTCTACCCATAGTGGACCGCCCACTGTGTCAAGGGATCCTCAGTCGGTAAAAGAAATCTTGTGACTGATATTTCAGGTAACTGCCCTACAGGCCGGGATTGTTTATGTGACCTACAGCTAGCTAGCCCTTTGGGTCCTCATACCCTCCAACCGAGCCCTATCGTCGGTTCCTTTGGGCCCCCGCGCCATTCTTCGGGTCTGATAAAACGTTGTTCTTGGCCGACTCGGAGCTCTTGCCAACACAGGACCCCCTGGTAGGCAGTTGGACTCCGTGACAGATACAGGGTCCCCAAGCAATGTAGATCGCTGGCCCCGACTTTGTAGCTGCTTGGGAAGTTGGCCCTCAAGCCAATACGGACACGGAGCCGGTTGCCCAATGCTGGTGGACAGGGGCAGCGACACAGATTTCAAGTTGGGAGCAAAATTTTCCAGGTGGTCATCCGGACAGAATGGAGTCTCCCTCCCCCAAACGAGAGCCTCCTGGAAAACATTTTTTCAAGGGGAGGGACCCCGGAGGCACGTGTTCTGCTATCAAATGTTTACGTGTAGCAATATCCATGTGCAGTGATATCGACAATTAAACATCCAGAATGAGCGTCTTCCGATGAAAACAGATGTCTTCTTGACCCGTGGGAGGGCCTCCCAATCCTGAAATAAGGCTTCCTGAGAAAAAAGGGTTTTCTGATGCATATAAGAGCCTCTTGATTCAGAACAGGATCCTTCCGATTCGCAAATGGGCACCAAATCCAGCAAAGGGCCTAATTATTCTTAAAAAGGGAAATTTAGATCAATTTAGGAGCCCCTAAGCATCGAGTACCTCGGTACGTTAACATATATGGGCCCCAGCAACAGCGCAAGGCCCTCCAAGCGACTGGAATAGGCCGGATACCAACGTAAAGGGTACCTGAAGAACCAAGAGAACCCCAGCAGGTCAACATATGCGGTCCCAGCGATGGGGCTTAGGAGCCTTCGAGGCGTATGGAAGGAATCCCGCGGCAACAGCATGAGGCCTCTGGACAGCGCAATGAGCCTCAAAACATTCTCAATGGCCATCACTTCCATCAGCAAATTATTAATGTTTGCCTTCTCACGGGCGCTTTACTTTCGCTTGTGGCTATTCTTGGTCGGTTGCGACTATTCAGGAGTCCCAAGAACGTCCAACCTTGATGTGTTTCGTCCCAAAAAGACTGTGTCCGTTCGGCCCGTTATGGGTCAGAAGCCGAAGAGGAATGAGTGGCATGGCCCCTTGCCCCCTCCTCTGGATCAGCCACTGTGCAAATGTAAGCACCTCAGTACTTTTCTGCTCCCGCATTAAAAACCACTGTGTAACTACGGTTGCACAACCAGCACAAGAACGGCGTTTTCTTTCAAAAATGGAGCATGTCGACGCCCAAGCAAACAGCTGTTCAGGCACATTGCATGTTTATTTAAACGTTGCTCGATCAAATGATGGACGTTGTTATCCCGAGGACGAGGGCCGTCCGGTCTTTACATACAAACTGAACACTCGTCTACGGTTTGAGCTCGAGGGTATAACAATATAAAGTCTAAGGTAATGCAGGCTATCACGCGAATGCATGTTCTGATGTGCTTTTTGACCACGGTAATTTCCTCGTAAAAAGCCCAGACGAACCCCACATTCCGCCGACAAGTCTGGGCATGCCGATGGATCCGGCTGACGGAAGGAGTGGGCGGGGGGAGGGGGGTCGGAGGCAGGCGGCTGAGTGATGTGCTTCCCCCTTCCCTCAGAGCGTCATCCCCCCCCCCCCCCCGGACACCGGTCCGGTGCAGTTCTGAGTCATCCCAGCCGGGAGTGAGGCGGAGAGCGTGTAGGTCCTTACCGCACAGTGGATCGTAGCTGGCGCTGTATCGTACGATCACGTGACCAAACCGCAGAGCCTCCTGAGTCATCAGCACCGTTAAACACAATGTGATGAAACCTGACGCTCAAATCTGCTGAATAGTCTTTGTGTATGTAAGAAGGTCAACAGTCACAGGAAACAGCGCATGCCTAGGGATGATTGAGTGTTTTGAGTCTTTGTGCCTGTATTTGCAAAAGCATGGTACAAACAACTGATGGCAGGCGCGAACGATTGATAGAAGGTACGAAGGACTGATAGAAGATACGAAGGGCTGGTAGATGGTACGAAAGACTGATAGGTGGTACGAACGCCTTAAAGGTAGCCGAATTCCCGTGAGGGCGGGTGAACTAATCTCTTTGTCAATGCGTACAATGTAAACGCGATGGTGTAAAGATAGCTATTGGTCAGGTGGACAGATTGGCGTGGACTGCCCAGGGCTTAGCCGGAAATGTGCTGACAAGCTCCTCCAATGCGCACCTTTGACCAATCAGAGGACAGCGGACGCCAGCTGACCGCAGACGGCCGGACGAGGCGGCGACCCAGCCGGAGCGCAGCGGCGTCTGGTGCACTGTCTAGCGAGCGCACCACAGGCTGGGTCTGATTATCACGCAACTCATTAAGTTGTTGAAGGGAGTGTACCACTATTGGGGCATGTTTTATTTCAAAGCAACCTGGTGAACTCTCAGAACCTGTCATTGTAGGAAACATGCCGCGTCTTTATTATTTTTTTCATTTATTGTTAGATCAGACGTGTCCGATTTTATCATCGATGCCAGCTTACTCGAAATCCTTCTGAATAGCTCAAAATTTCGATTTCAAGCAGTCGCACCTGCTTGACAAATCTTATTGGACTCCCCGCTCACCACTATGAACGTAATGCATGTCATTGGCAATACTTTTTCAGCATGTGTGTTCTGTTATGTTTTCAGCACACTAATTTGGCGGAATGCTGATTTAATGGACAACACGAAAGCTGGAAACGTTTTTTTAAGAAAAGTTGCGCAGACATGGGGCTATTATTCTGCGAATTCAACGAAACGTTATACTATGGCTTAGATTCCCACCCTGTTGCGTTTGCCACAGCGGCTCTTTTTGGCTTGGGAAGCGGAGTATCTTAAGCGCACTTTGGCTTTGGGAAGCGGAGTATCTTATGATTTATGCGACGCAGTGGTTCAAACTCCAACCAATGCACCTCTCACTAAATGGCCGTTGCCGCCCGCTGCGCCAATCACAAACGCTCATTTGTACTGACGTCATTCATGCCTTTACAGGTGTGACTTTTAAGCCCGCATTCCCGGCACGTGCGAGTTCAAACAGTTAAAAAATGATCCCTCTAACCCGTAACAGCTGATAACGGCCGTCAGCAGTTGCTGCCGTCGTCATGGTGACGGCGGTCGAGACAACTGCAGTTGTTGTAGACTCGGGATACACTCTGCTGCTATCAAGAAAGGAAAAAAATGTGGTACTGTAACAAAGCGCTTGCAGCGCAATTTGGCCTCGAAAATAATTAAGGTTGATATCATCATGTTTTTTCAGGTGCTGCAGTGACACTACTCGGTGCTTTTATTAGGCGCAGTAGCCGTGCGATTTCTTAAGCACCTCTGAATATTCCAGCGTGCTTACGATTAATGTCCCCGTCCCCCCATCAAAAATTGTTTGCACCGCCTCTGGCGATATGCCTGTTGATGTTTGGCCACTCAGTCGACGGGGAATCTCTGGAGAAACGGGGGAGGGGGCAATGTCGGTTTGCATGTCGTTTATTTCTGGGATTACTCGTTAAAATGTCTCAGAGCTGGGGCAGCTCGCTCTACCCGGCAGCCGCCTCTGCCGCCACTCCAAAGGGCAACGCTCTTGCTGTGTGGATAGCATCCTGCGCGTCGCCGCCTATGACGTCAACCGTGGTGACATCACCCACGACGGCGAGGGCGCTGATTGGCTGCCGATAGCGACGCGCGGCCGCCAGCACTTGCTCGGGCCTCATTGTACTGGCGCGGCGCTCCGTGTGCAGAGTGGTGCGGTCGTGACAACTCTGAGATGTGCCCTGCCTGCTCCGATGACTGCGATGCTGAGTCTAGCGCTGGTGGGAGCCGTGCCGATCACGGCCCAGGAGCAGGAGCACAGCCGGCTGCTGCCGCTGGTGCAGCAGCTGCTGCGCTGCGAGCTGGTGCGCAGCGTACTGCGCCACTGGACACCGACGCCGCCGCCCGACGTGGCCGACGCAGGTCAGTGTTGTGTCATGGGGGTCGCTGCGCCGGGGCGCCCCGCTCTGCCCGCAGCGTGTGCATGCATTCACAGGCTGGGCCCCTCAATGAGGCTGGCAATTTATGAAGTGGTGCCGTGCGTCATGGTTTGCTGAGTGGAAGATGTTGCCAGTTATATGTAAGTCACGCTCTGTTTGCCGTTCTGCCCTCAAAAGGCCGCCAGTCTCACGGTTTGGCCAATAATTGTACTGCATGTGTGCTAGATCTCACCAAAAGGACCGTGCGCGTCGGCTCAACGATTCCGCGTATGAGGCCAGGATGTAGCGGCGTGGTTTCCAGCGGATGGCCGGAAGGTTCGAAGCTTAGAAGCTTCGAAGCTCCGAAGCTCCGAAGCTTAGGCCGAGGAAACTCCGTGGCGATATTCAAGCGTTCACGAACAAACACGCCGCGGCAGCCAGCTTTTAGCGTAGCTGCTGTGTCCTTCGACGATGTTTATGGAAGCCGAGACGGACCCGAGACAAGTTCTCACATGCCAATGTCGTTGCAATCGACACTGGATGCTGGCGACACAGAATGTTTGTGAATGTCAGCGCGCTGTCCCGTCCTTCACGCGCTGCGCCCGGCCGCTTGGCTCGGCAGCTATCAGCCCGAGGTCACAGCTGTGTCCGGCCGGCATGTCAAGCCCAAACACGTGCGTCTACAATCGCCCCACATCCGCGGCATTGACGGGGCTCCAGGAGTGGCGCGTCAACTGTCGCGCCGGTCGCTGACCCCGGTCGGCGGCAGCCAGGCTGCGCCGTCGCTGTGTCACCGACCGGTCAACGCACGCGGTCCCGGGCGGCGGCGGGCTCTGTGATCCTGACCTCGGCCCCGTCTTTTCAGCCACGTGCGTCACCGAGCAGGAGCTGGCACGTGCCAGTCGCGCCCGCCGCCATGGCCCGCTACCTGACCTGGTGACCTCTTGTCAGCCGGGGTCACCGGGCGGCGGGCGGGAGCCGGACGGCGGCCGGCCGGTGAGCCGGGAGCAGCTGCAGTTGCGCCTGGATCGGCTGCAGGCGGTGCGCAAGATGGCGCAACAGCCGGACAACTGGGCCAGTGATGTCGGACACAGCTACGTCGCCCCGCCCGTCTCCGGAGAGGAACGTCTCAGCCCGACCTCGGAGGATATGGGCGAGCACGAGGATCAGGACAGGGAGGACGGGAACGAGGACGAGGCGGAGGACGAGGCCGGAGGCGCGGCGCTCCGGGAGGGAGACGCTGGCGGACGGGCACGCCTCATGGTCGGTAGAGATCTGGCTGCCGTCGCCGATAAGATCGACGCCGAGCTGCCACCTGGGCCGCTGACCCAGTCACCTGCATCCAGCCAGGTGAGCACATCCGGCATTGCTTAATCGCTGTGCATGGATCGGTGGGAAACCCGCTGCCGGATGCCACGTGTACGGTGACTAATTGTTGGCTTGTCCGTGCAACCTGACTGTGTTGCTAGCGAGTCTCAGTCAGACGGGCCCCTACTTCCTTGAATGGCTGGATTGACTTCCGTCTCCAAAACTGGTGGATTGTTTTATTATTGACGTGATCAAGAACATTTACAAGGCTGACGTCCAAACTCAAGTGCCGGGGATGGCTATATTTGCGCTTAGAGTTTTTCATCATTTTATGCGATGCTTAAAGTCCCTGTCTGTGGAAGGAGACGCCGAGATTCAATCGCCTGCTTGTGCACGTCTTGCTTCCGCGAGCGTTCGTTCCCTAAATGTGACTATGCCCCCTTTGCCACCCTCGTTGACTCCTTCTTAAAAGGGAGCGGAAGCGACGCTCCCTGGCAAGATTTAGTGATTATGAACTTGTACTGTAATAAATGCATGGGTCGAAAGGAACACAAAACGGCAAAGCATCGCTGTTGAGCCCGTACCGTGCTGAGCGGCGCCACTGACGGCCGCCGCGCCGTGGTTTTTCAGGATCGAGCGGCGCCTCCAGTGACGTCCCTCGGCGGATCAAGACGTCTCAGCACCGCCGCCACTGCCACCGTTGCCCACGCGCTGGCCTGCGCCCTGGGCGAGCTGCTCAAGCAGCCGTGATGGCCGCCGCAGCCGGGACGGCGCCGCAGCAGCGACAAATGTGGCGCAGCATCCCGCTGAAGCCACCGTCTGTCGCCTGTGCATCGCAGATTTAGACCGTCCCTAGCATAGAGGAAATAATGTTCATCGCTCAGAACGAATCCACATTCAGCTGGACGCTGATGTTTTGCTTGCGTGGCATGAAAAGGGTGATTTGAACGGCTACGTGTTTTTGTCCTAGAGAAAGAAAGCCAGATAGTTTGTTGCAAGGAGATTGGTGTAGTCTGCATGCGTACACAAGTCACATGTTGTGAGTGTGTGAATATCTCCGTCTCCGCGCGTTCGTTGGTTTTGCTGAAGTCTAGCCGGCTGTGTCGAGCTGCTGATATTGTGTTGGTGACGCTGAGCTGAAGATAAGGAAAAACAGAGTGCGGTCTCATGCAGGTCACGACCGCTGGCGCATGCAGAATGACAATCTACTAGCATCGAGCTAGTCAGGGTTCGACACCCAGTGTTAGTTTGCTGATGTATATCTCATGATGTCGTGCTGTTTTTGAGCTTATTCCCCTCATGTCTTTGTAACTGATGCAAAGCTGTGGATGTTGACCTGTTGACGCGACTTGCTGATATCATGCTATTGACCCCGAACTATGGATATCGTGCAGCCGGTGTCGCGGAGAGGGCTTCAGGGGTGCCGCATGATGTGGTGTACGTGGCCGGTGACCAGATGGTTGTGAAGATGTTAGCTGTGATGTAGGGTAGCGGGTCTACTCTTCAACGCGAGGAAATGAGTCGGGAGCACAGCCAGGACAGAGACTGGGGATGCTTGCTGACAGCACTCCTTAGGCCGCGTTCACTCACCTCGTGGTCGTGACAGACAGCCAGGACAGAGACCGGGGATGCTTGCTGACAGCACTCCGTGTGCCGCGTTCACTCACTTTGTGGTCGTGATAGAGACAGCCAGGATAGAGACTGGGGATGCTTGCTGACAGCACTCCGTGGGCCGCGTTCACTCATTCTGTGGTCGTGCCTAAGTGACCACATTTGTGCATATCTATGTTCACTTTGACTTGTCAGTCAATACATGTGAGCTTTTTTTTAAAAACTGTTTGATCATGCGATGAGCGGTTATGAAGGACGAATTCAGAGAAGGTATCGCCGCATTTTGGGGCTGTACCCTGGCGTCCAGATTACTTACAATGTTGGTCTGTGCTCTGAGATTGGCTTCCACTTGGTGAGGAGAAGGGGGCATCAGGTCAAAGGTAAAAAATCCCTGAAATTAGAACTGTTTCGGTTTTGCATGCTCATGTATACATGATTGAGAGAAGTGCTGCCTCGTGGCAACACAAAAGCTTTAAAAATTTAACAGGCGTATACCCTGTTTATTTCCGAGTACAATGGTGTAGTTGTTATGTGTTTTGAGCATAAGTACATGATGTGGAGCGTAATCAATGTAACAGTGTCAGTCCGCCACGCGCGGCCTGCAGCATTGCCGGCTGCCGCCCGCCGCCCGCATCGGCCGGAAAAGATCGCACTTCACTGAAACCACAAATGCCAGGGCCATGTTTTGGTGTTCAAACACGCGCATTTTGCCGAAAATTTTGACACGATTGCATAGTGTGCCGGAGAGGTGCACACAGAAAACCTCACGCAATCTCACTGATCCCCCCCCCCCCCCTGTAGGTGTAAGGATCTACGCATTTGAATCATAAAAAATCCACTTAGGAGAGTATTTCGTGATAATTGATTATTCCTTAAAGCCACAGACATGAACTTTTTGGACAGCCGTCTGGCGAACGCTTGCCGTTTCCACTGACAGATCGGTGCCGTCCCTACCACCCTTCCCAGATCTGAACATAAAACGGAATGCAAACATTGACGAAACCTTGCTTTGCTTCAGTTAACGGTACTCGTTTGTTCAATCAAAGCCTGCTGCTATGCTCACTGATTTCGCGTTTGAGAGAAGTGCTGCCCTGAGGTAAGCCCATTGGTAAAAATGTACGTGTGTGTGAGGGAGGGGGGTTGCTCGGGGGTAGTTCATCAGGATGCTTTGTTATCAACAAATCAGTGTAAACGACTATACTCACTAATCAGGCCATTCTAATCATACCGGCACAGTTCTGCTAGCATAATCGCATTGGCACTAGTTTTTGTCCTCTTGGGCTGACTGAAAAAATGTTTTCAGCCGCACAGAGATTCTGTCAAGTGTTGCATGACTGCGTGGCTTGGCGTCAGCAAAGAGCTCCTTTGGCCGAGGGGGTAGTTCTACTGGGGGGGGGGGGGGGGGATCATTAAGGGTGCTTCTCCATGTGCTCCTATGAGGCTGAAATCACCCTGAAATCGTTTGGCATGTTAAGATCGAGCGTGTACAATGAATATGCCTCTTATGAGACAACTGAAGATACCGATTGGTTAACATACTCGAGATCGGAAATGTTACCACTGGGGAGGGCGACATGCCCTCAATTTTCACATAATGTTATTACTGTTTGCTTGAGAAATGCACGTATTTCATAGTTTTTCCATTAAAAATACCATTCTCCATCAGGTGTAACCCCATATATTTCCATTGACCTCTCCGATTCTGATCTCCCCCCCCCCCCCCCCCCCACTTGAAAGACCGGTTATGCCCATGCCTAAAGCCACACGAAACTATTTAAAAAACGTTATCCATGGTCACAGTGGCTTTTTAGCATCTAATGAAAGGTAATCCATAGTTTAACATCAATATACGCATACGTAAAATCCTGCTGACATTCACAAACCTTTCCGGCTTCCATCAAAGGCTCTCATTTTTGCAGTCACAGAGATGACGCTTGCGACGAGGAATGCAGCAACGTTAACGCCCATTGGACACCTGTCATGGCGCCAGCTTCACGCGCTGCCACTTGCGCATGATACGATGGGCCAATGTGAATATTCTGTTACAAAAATTGGTAATAGCGGTAACTCAGATTATGTTTTTATTTGGAAAAGCTCTGGTTGAAACGATGATATCGAGTGTAACAGTAATGAAGAGCATAACATTCCCGAATCATTTCACGGCGGTGAAAAAGTCTGGAGTGTGAGGGCAATACATCAAACTTTCCATATGCAGTAATACAACACACACACACAACTCTTGTAAATGGGATAAGCTGACGGTAAATTTGTGTCAGCATATTTCTACGTTTTCCACGCCTGATTTTCTTGGACACCCGATATTTCCCTTAATCTGGCAGTTCTGTGGAAGCATGGCTTTCTTAGCGCAAGAATCACCCTGCAATGAATTCAAACCACGGCAATACAACACCGGGTACTCCAAAGTTTTGACTAGTAGGTATCGACACAGTATACCAGAATCGGGATTAACACCAGATTTAGCATGTTGTACCAAAAGTTGGACAGTGCTGTGCTAGCGGCATCTTTGGTTTGTTTGTGGCGATTAAATGTAATCACATTTCTCGGTCGCAAAACACTTGAATGGTGGTGCGGTATTGGGGATGGTTGTTGGAGGATCAGATTGTGTCCAAGTAATTTCAGATGCCTCCGGGCTAATCAGATGTATGTTGTTCTTTGCCAAGTCACATTAATCTCAATTTTTCCAATTATTTCAATTAGTCCAAGTCTCAATTTACATATAATGACTCATTTAAACATTCTGCAGCAAAACTGATAATGTAATAATTCAGTTACTGCACAACTTGCCAGTTACGAATGTCGTGGCCTAGGCTACCGGCTGTTGAATGCTTGTGGAATGCTGCATGCGAAGTGATTGGCCAAGGCGTGCTCAGGTATATTTATGTTGGAGCTAAGGGTCTTGTTATCTTTTAATGCATGACTATTGAGATTGCTGTCTGATTGGCATTTGAATATTCCACATAAGCATTAATAGCCTTTGCCTACAGTGGCATTACCACCCATGAAATGGGCCAACCAGTAAGTATGTCAGTTCAGCACAGCTGTGTGACTGCATTAGATGTGGTTATTGAGACATGAAAGGCACTATAATGTAATGGAAATGTTTGGTATGATGCAATGTTGTGCACATACGTGATATGACATTTCACCAAAGGAGCTATCTGCCTGCACTGTTTAGAGAAGGTCATCTTATGTCAAAAATTGGCTGAGTTTTCTGGCATAATTCAACTTATGTGAAATCACAAGCTATGTTTATTTCAGATCAGAAGAATCAATGTGTGTTGCATATTGGTGGGCTGTGCTGAGGGCCACCCCACCTCACCTCCACCTAATGTGTGTTTTTCATCGTGTCTGGACACCTCATTTTGATTTAAGGCAATTTAAAGTTGTAGTTTTGTGTCTTTCCTTCAAAAGTCCAGCTAATGCCATTAAATAATGCCTAAAGCAGGTCATCATGTGATAGTCACTTTTACCTTAGTTTGTTTTGTAATATATTCTAGCAACAATATGAGAAGGGCAAGCCAATATTTGCTAGTGCATTTCAACATTGTCGGAGGAGGCCACCCTCGCAAAATGCAATTGCTCCATGCAACTGCATGCAGCATAAACCTGGCATTGAACAATAACCTGTGCTTGGTAAATGTATCCATTGTAGGCAGCAAATGTTGTAGTTAATGTATTTAATGGGTGCATTGGTTTGTGTTGTACCTGAAATGTACAGTTAGTCAGCAAGATAAATCATCTTTATGATTTGTGACATGTCTCATGCTGAAATAATCAGATCACATAGGATACAGGGCTATCAAACTAATTTCAACATTATAGAATGTCTGCTTATGCAAGGGAGGTTTTCAGATTGGTGACATTTATAGAAACTGATGTTTTTTGTCAAATATTGCAATATTTTGTTTTTTATATATTGTTATATTTTATATATTTATTATATATTGTGTTTTATATTTTATACATTATTATATTTATAGTATTTACAATATTCTGAATGCTAGTTGTAACCCTGTCCTCAGCACCATATCTGGTACACAACATCACTGCATAATTTATAGGACGCGTGTAAATCGACTCAGGAGTGCATCTACACAGAACAGCTCCTCTGCTTAAATCCGCTATGAAGTGGATTTACACAGGATGCCACCCCTGTGTAAATCGACTCAGATCTGAGTTGATCTACACATGAACGCACTGTTGTGTAAAGCCACTTGTGAGTAGATCTACACAAGTGTGGCTTCAGGAGTAAATCGACTCAGATCTGAGTGGATTTACACAGGAGCGCCGTTCTTTGTATATACACTCCGGAGTGGATTTAAGCAGAGAAGGTGTTCTGTGTAGATGCACTCATGACGTGATATACACAGAAGCGCCATTCTGTGTAATTCCACTCGCGAGTGGATTTAAGCAGAGAAGGTGTTCTGTGTAGATCCACTCATGACGTGATGTACACAGAAGCGCCATTCTGTGTAATTCCACTCGCGAGTGGATTTAAGCAGAGAAGGTGTTCTGTGTAGATTCACTCATGGCGTGATATACGCAGAAGCGCCATTCTGCGTAACTCCACTCGCGAGTGGATTTAAGCAGAGGTGTTCTGTGTAGATGCACTCATGATGGATACACACACCTGTGAATTACATCGCGATGTGATCTGCGCAGGCGACAGAGCGTATTCAACGCAGCGAACCGGCGAACTGATCTATGACTTACCGAATAAGGGAAATGTGTGATTTCAGCAATCAAACACGCGCACAAAAGCTGAAAATATGCATTTGCCCATGCATAGCTCATTTTTGCATCACTGAAGCTACACATCTGCGTACTTTGTTGAGAACATACCGTCCAGAGAAGCGAATATATATATATATATATATATATATATATATATATATATATATATATATATATATATATATATATATATATATATATATATATGTATATATAATATAGTATGCGTGCGTTTGCGCGTGTACATGTGTATGTTCCAGGAAAGGTAGATGCTGAACTTGTCATATTGCTTACAAGGCACGCCATGCGGTATCGCATGCTTGCCACACGGTGCTTTGCAGTGTGCGGCTTGTATCCAGTCTTGGTAACGGGTGAGGGATGCGGAGGGCTCCTAAAGGGGCTCCTTGATGGTGAAACGCCCCCCCCC